CCCCCCCCCCCTCCCTCTCCCTTCCCAGAGGCTGGACATATCAGAATTTTTTCTTGATTGAACGTGGCGGCAATTGCTGTCAGATGCATCCTGGAAAGTGGAAGTGAGTGACAGTTCGCCGTTATACCGAAACGTTTGTGGCGCAGCTCAACCTCAATCATACGCGGGTCTCCGGCGTAGATCTCTGTTTTCTTTTTTTTTTTGCGTAGATCTCATTTCCCTGTCACTCACGCCCTGTCTGCGGCGAAGTTCAAGCATTGCTATTTTTTTTTTTATATATCGAGCCAGCCGGCGCTCAACCTGTCATCCACGTGGCCGGCCTTGTACGTAAGAGGTGATGAACACATATATGCGGAGCTTTCCCTTTCCTTCCTTTTTTTCCTTTTTTCTGTTTTTGTCCTTTTTCGCCTTTTCCTTTTTTGTTGTCTTTTTTCGCCTTTTCCTTTTTTTTTTTTTTTTTTTTTGCCTTTGTGCTCCTCCGATACACGGTGTGTGACGATATATTGTGAGAATGCTCTCCCTGCTGCAGAGCTATTCCAGCCCCATCTTTTTCGTGCTTGTCAAGTGAACCCTCGTTCGTCCGACTGTCCTTGTTCTTCTCCATGTTATACACGGTCTGTCCCGACTTCCCCTCCCTCCCCCCCCCCCCCCCCCGATCTTGCTAATGTCCCTCCTCCCTTCATTTCTTTCTTCGTCTTCTGTCTCCCTCTCTTTCTTCTTGCTCCTTTCTTGTTCTTGTTTCTTGTTCTTGTTTCTTCTTGCGCGTCTTTTGCTTCCGTTGTCCGTCTTTGCTCTTTTGTTCCTTCTTTCTTTTCTCTTCTTGATTCTGTCTTCTTCTCGATTCTTTCTTCTTCTTGCCTGTTGTTCTTCTTTCTCTGCTTCTTGTCGTCTCTCTGTCCTCCTCTTTTTTCTTTTGCCGTCGTATTTCTTACTTGTTCCTGTCTTGTTTCCTTGCTGCTGCTTTGCTTCTCTTTTTCTTCTTCTTCTCAACGTTTTTTTTTTTTTTCTCGCTCGTTCGTCGGTTCCTCTGTGTGCAATAGTCGCGCCGCCTTTCGTCATATCGCCTTTCAGCGTGTTCGCTTCCTCTGCGGGCTTCGTTGCCTCATAGCACAGACACTCTTTTGTAGAAGCTCCTTTTTTTTCCCCCCCCCCCCCCCCCCCCCCCCCGAACTCCTTTATTTTCTTCTTTTGTCCTTTTTCCTTTTTTTTTTTAATTTCTTGTTCTTTTCTTTTTTTTTTCCCCAATTTCTGATTTCAGCGTTGACCAATTTCCAGAAATTTGTATCCTTCTTCTCTGTTCGTGTTTTTTTCTTTTTTCTTTTTGTTGATCTCTGTTCTCTTTTCTTTGTTCCTCTGTTTCGTTTTGTGCGCCGTTTATGCCCGTCGTCTCTTGTACTGTTATTGTTTTGCAAAAGCCCTCTGGATTTGAATTTTGAACCCATGTCTTCTGTCGTTTTTTTTTTTTTTTTTTNTTTTTTTTTTTTTTTTTTTTTTTTTTTTTTTTTTTTGCACTCTTCTCCTTTTTCTCAATCTGTGAAGGCGTTGACGTATCCTTGTCTTGTCAAATGGACCCGGCCCAGGAAATTCACGAAGTCCATTCATGGTGTTTTATCTGGATTCGAATCCGGGTCTCCATTTTTTTCCGCAGTTCATGGGTGTGTACCAACAATTGAGCTGGATGTTCGTTTTTCCTTTTTTTTTGACGTATTCCCCATCTAACCTAGGCTACCAGAGTGGCCCGGGGTCACTTGCCCGGCCGGGCCAAAAAAAATAAAAATAAAAGAATTATTTTTGAATTTTATTTTTTATTCTTAATTTGGTGAAGAATTGCGATGTGACCCTTGAGGCAAAAGTGGTTCAGTTTAGTTTTCTCCATAACATAGTTTTTTTTTCGGATTTTTTGGATTTTTTTTTTTTGCTGGGACCTTCCTTGGTCCTTGCACGGGCTGGCCACCCGGGACCCGGGCGGCCCGGCTGGTAGCCTAGCATCTAACCAAATAAACTGACCGGCAGTTCATGGGTGTGTACGAATTGAGCTAGGATCTTCGTTTTTCCTTTTTTTTTGGCGTATCACCCATCTTGCCTTCATGGGTGTGTACCAATTGAGCTAGGATCTTCGTTGTTCCTTTTTTTTTGACGTATTACCCATCTTGGCCCATAAACTGACCAGCCCAAAGAAATTCACGAATTTCCATCTGGATTCGAACTCAGGTCTGCATTTCAAATTTTGCCTTGTCTTTGTAAGTCATTCCAAATTTTTTATTTTTTAGCTCAGTTGCTACACTTATGAAGTTCATGACAGCTAGATTGTTGGGTGTAGCAACTGAGCTATGAGATATAGCCCAAATAAGTTTTGCCTTGTCTTTGTAAATCATTCTTTTTTTTTTTTTTTTTTTTTTTTGGGCCATTCCAAATTTCACTTGTTGTGCATGATGGATTTCGGTGGATAAAGGGCCTCACTGCACTACTCACTAAATGTGCAAAATGAGAATGAATATTCCAGTAGAACATGGGAAGATGCACAGCCATACTTTTCGTCTTTTGTGGATTGTGGAGAGTAGTGGAGCGAGGACCATAGA